ATTTAACCAGTGAATTTTATAATTTTGAGTGTGCATGTATAGGTTGGGGCAGTCTCACTGTTTTTGGTTTTAATAAAATAGAAATAAAAAGTAGGGGAAATGTACAATTTAATCCACATGCTTCATTCAAGCAAAAGTCTATTTTAAAGAAAAAGAAAATGTCTCCCTGATACATAAACTTATACTTGATTTAGAAAAAAAAAATTCTGATACATGTACCAATTATTTTCACTTAGTGATTAGGTTCCATGCAAAACAGAGTAATATGTAAAAGCCTTGAAGAGATACCAAAGATCCCGGAACATATTTTGGTTTTGAAATTATTGAAGTCTATATTATAATGATTAATCCTCATCAAGGAAATAAAAATGGTATTTTTATTACTTACTGAAATAAAACAAATACCACAGTTTAAACAAATGACAGTCATTTCAGGGAAAATCAGCACTTCAAAAATTTTTCATTACTTTTTACCATTTTCATGTATATGCACATGTTTGAATGCATCTTTTCTGAAACATAATGTTTTTTGTTCTTCTCAATACCATCTGGATTTTTTAAAGTAAACTTCACTTTTAGTGTAGAGAACTAGCTTACATTTAAAGACACTAGAAAATATCAAGTTTAATTATTTTTTTAATTTTAAATAAAAATTTTACAATATATCATATATACTGTTATAAAAAAATATTTGAAAGTTTTCCCAAATAGATGGGAAAAAAGCAGCTTTAAACCAGAAATTTAAGGTGTAATTAGGACCACTTAATTGACTCTTTTAAATTCATATTGTGTATATTTCGAATACCTTCATGCATCATGAATTAATTTTGCTTGATCACAAGAATATATTCTCTATATATCTCTTTTGCACTTCCTTATTAATGCAATCACTCATCGGAAAATTTGCTACAGTGTTCAAGGCCCTCTACATTTATTTTTTTTATTAGGTGAAACCTTTTTTTATCTTTCAACATTTTTTAAATGGGTCTTTAGATTAAAAAAAAAAAATATTTGTTTATTCATTGTTAAAAAAAAAACAAATACTCTTAATTGACAAGATGTTTCAATTTTTTTTTTTTTTTTTTTTTTTTGCAAACCTTTATTTCAAAGCAAAGCTTAATTTACGTATGTTAACAACGTGCACAGCCACTGAGGAAGAGAAAAACGTCTGTGACTTGCCAGGTTCAATCTCGTGCATTATTGTTTTCATGTAGACGATGTAATGTATGTCTACTTACAAAACCCCAAATAAACAAATAATAACCACATTATGCCCAAAATATAAAACTTTACCGACCATATAAGCTCTCGATATGCTTCAGACTAAAGTTCTGTAGCATGTGCACCCTACTTTCGTTTTAACAGGAAGAACTTCGCAAGGTTAAGGTCAAGTCAAGTTAACCAAAGTTTTGCTGCTATAATATCGACAATTTCTATGTAATTTTATGTCTACTAGCTCAAATTTATTAGAATTATTAATATTTGACATTCTGGGGATTTATTTCTTTATTTTTCATTATGTTAGAGCTAGTTAGTAGATATTTATTACATGCGCGTTTTTTCCCTGTTTCCAAAAATAGCGGACTGACTTTCTTTAACAAAAGCCAACACCTTCACTTTAAATCACAATTTCAAAAATAATTCGCATATTTTCACATCTTAATTACCTATTTTTCAATGTATTATGGTTTTATAATGCATATTGATAGATTCTTAGTAATTCACAACTCATTTATACGTTTTATACAACGTTTTATGTTACGAAGCGCTAATTCCACACTCAGACCCAATATATTGGGTTCCCGCACGGTAGCGTTTGTGACGTCAGACCCAATATATTGGGTTCCCGCACACAAAGGGTTAAAAGCAACCCAGCACCATATATATAAGTATATTTGACTTTGAAGTTTTTATAAGGATGTATATTGACTATGGGGTGGCCTTGAGTAGACTCATGCCCTCATATCATAAGAGGGGGTCAAGTCCACTCGTGACTATGGGGTGGCCTTGAGTAGACTCATGCCCTCATATCATAAGGGGGGCTCAAGTCCACTCGTGACTATGGGGTGGCCTTGAGTAAACTCATGCCCTCATATCATAAGGGGGGCTCAAGTCCACTCATGACTATTGGGTGGCCTTGAGTAGATTCATGCCCTCATATCATAAGGGGGGAGTCATGACCATGGCAAATCCACATATTAATGTCCACTTATGATTATTGGGTGGCCTTGAGTAGACTCATGCCCTCATATCATAAGGGGATCTCAATTCCACTCATGACTATTGGGTGGCCTTGAGTAGACTCATGCCCTCATATCATAAGGGGATCTCAATTCCATTCATGACTATCAGGTGGCCTTGAGTAGACTCATGCCCTCATATCATAAGGGGGCTCAAATCCACCCGTGACTATGGGGTGGCCTTGAGTAGACTCATGCCCTCATATCATAAGGGGATCTCAAATCCACTTATGACTATTGGATGGCCTTGACTAGATTCATGCCTTCATATCATAAGGGGGGCTCAAGTTCCCTCATAACTATGGCATGGCCTTGAGTAGACTCAGGCCCTCACATCATAAGGGGGTCTTGAGTCCACTCGTGGCCATGGGATTGATTTGAGTAGAATCAGGGCCTCACATCATAAGGGTGTCTCCAGTCCACCTGTGACCATGGGATGACCTTGAGTAGACTCGGGCCCCACTGTTGTTGTGAGGATGGATACACTTTGTCTGCTTTTGGTTTTATTTCACTTGTCACAACCTAAAGTACATGTAAGAGGAATATCTTAATGGTAATTCGTAGGTCATACAGCCCAGTACCTTTAATGTTTGTAGACTCAGTCTTCTCATTGTGAGCTGACCATCTAATTGCTTTCATGTAATTTTATTTTTTTTGCAAAACAATTAAGCTGTAAAACATGCTTTTGTTTTCAATTATTAATGAGTAGATCATATTAAACAATATTCGTTCAGTTTTGATTTAAGTTAATTAATTATCACATGTAGAACATATAGGAAAAAATATATTTTAAAATGTTATGTTAGTTATATTATATGGCTTCATGTGAACTATAATGGGGGTCAAATTAATCGGACAGCTTTTGAATGTTGTTTGTTTGTTTTTGAATTATTATGTTTGTTTTTTACCTGAATAAAGCATTGTCAACATTTATGAAAATAAACTGCATTTAACAAAAAGTGTTTATAAATCACATGAAATTTATGAGACAAAGTCTGAACGACTAGGTGTTAACACGATTAGTCCAGTCCAGTTTACATTTCAGGAAGTATCGTTGTAATTATATGTAAAGCTATTAAAAAGTTAATTCCATTTTCTAACTGATATCTTGCTGGATAGAAAACTATACCTGATAAGTTCACCTGTCTTCTCCCTTAAATGACCTGTATTAATACTTCAGTGAGCCCTGTAAAATATGTCTCCTGTCCCCTAAGCTTTACAAACACATGTATATTACATCATTACTCAGCAATTGGAACTCGCCTCACTTCACCTCATCCTGCCTGCTGGCACATAAATTCCCAACCACTGAAACTACCTTACTATATTTTTATAAAATGGTAAGCAGCAAGGGTACTGTTTTTAGCTGATTTGAAAACAAGGTCTGTGGGCCACAATGCTCACTTGAGTTTCCTTAGCCAACTAGTTATTCATCACAAAATTTAAAGGGACATGGACACAGTTTCAGCTAAAAAATTTCAAAGTTATTTTTCCATTTTTACAAATATTTAATTAGGTCTCTCTAAAAATTTGTTATAAACATCTAATTTTTTGTTTATATCTGTTATTATACTAATATCAGTTGTCAAAGAGTAATTTCAATAAAAAAGTTCATTCTAAATACAATGATTAATAAAACTAATGAGAGCTCTTATTATAAAAAAATTTGTTATGTAAACAGCTGTGTACATTATGACATTTTTTTGCTTATATATATTATTATACTAATATAGGTTCATCAGAAGCAAATAATTTCAATAAAAAAAGTTCATTCTAAACACGATGAGACAGTTTCTAGTGATTAATGCTGAATTTCATTTTATTATAATTTAAATATGATAGCTGTCGATCTCTGTACAAATAACAGATTAACCAGACTTGAATCATAAAAATGTTTCAATATCAATATGCTTGGCTGTTCTGCAGAAAAGGTAAACATATGGAAAAGAGGATATAGAAAAAAAAATTCCTATTCATTTTGAGGTCCAAAAGACAAAAACGAAAGTCAGAAAGACTCCAGTTGATTTTAAGAGGAACTTTTTTCCCCTTGTTCATCTACAGCTCTTCCACCCTCAATCTTCTTTGTATTTAATGATTTAACTATAATTGATATTTTTATGCCCTCATAAACAAAGTTACGGAAATATATAGTTTTTGTCTTGTCCATTCGTTAAGCTAGCTGTCTGTTTCTCCACAAAAACTTTAACCTTGCAAATAACTTTTTAGTGGGCTGGGCTATGGTTTTCATGTTTAAGAGGTGTATTTCTTTTGACAAGACCTTTCTTTGGGTACCAAGCATACTTTAACCTGGCCATTATAACTTTTGAGCAGTTGAAGCTACAGCATTCATACTTCACACGTGTATTCATACACAATCATTGTGACATGACCATTCAGTATGTATAAACTTTTTTGATATTTTGACCTTGACCTTAGAGTTTGACCCATTTTTAAAAAAAATTAACCTTTGCCATAACTTTTGAACAGTTAAAAGTAGAGCCTTCATATTTCACAGATGTATTCTTTGTAACAACCTCTTCATTTGGGTACCAACATTTTTTACCTTTTAACCTTGACCTTTGGAGTTTGATTGCATTGTGACATGACCATTCAGTATGTATAAACTTTTTTGATATTTTGACCTTGACTAGAGTTTGACCCATAGAAAACTTTTACCTTTGTAAGATGCCAATCCTTTGGGGGCAGACCATGCTGTTTGCCACAAACACATCTTGTTTACATTAAAATAATTGAAGAAAATTGTTATTTAAGTACATTTTAATTAATTTTAACAACTGGTATAATTGTATAAACACATATATATAAATATTAACAATTTCTTAAAAATATCAAAATATTTACAATCAATAAAGGATGACTGCACTTACAAGGTCATGCCGAATTTGCAACAAAATAAACTCTCAAAATAAGCATGTTTATTAGCTCACCAGAGCTGAAAGCTCAAGTGAGTTTTTCTGACCACAATTTTTCCGTATAGTCTGTCTGTCTGTTCTAATACCAGAGGTACAATTTTGAATGTTCAAATTTGACGGGATTCTAATTTACAGTACAAAAATGAAATTAGATTAAGATACCTATGCAGTATAAAAGCAACAAGTTACTGAAAGAGACCCCAAACCTGGCATTAAGAGCAGTCATCCTTTAGTCATAAAATAATAATTAGTAGTGGTCTATAGCAAAAATTGAACAGCAGCAATCAAAATTACTGAAAAGAAACTTTTTAATACTATTTAATATTCATCTTATTAATATGTTGAACAATAATTTTTTTAAAATATAAATGTTAAAAATGCAATGATTTATTTGATTTAATGGCTATATATAGCTCTATTAATGTATAAATGCATTATAAACAATTCTTTGATTTTGATACGAAGTGTTACTGAAAGAAATTAATATTTTTCATCAACAGCCTTCCACTTCCATCACGCAGTGGCAGTGTTGTTTACAATCTATACTGGAACCAGTGAGAGGTTTGTTCATAAGCCTATGAACCAGAACCAGTAAGAAGGTCAGTAAGCCTATGAACCAGAACCAGTAGGAGGTCTATAATCCTATGAACCAGAAACAAATCCCATCTCCTCCAGTAGACTCTTGGGTTCCTCAGATTCCTATCAAATAAACAAGACAAACTTATCACAGGTGCTTGTTTCCTATATAGGACACCCCCTACTTTTTCTGACCCCATATACAGAACAAGTGCCTGTGAAGCTTATCGTACTTCTTTATGTTACCTCAAATATTATCCAAGCTTAACAGATGTTCATCTTTCCTAAGTAGCGAATGAATAAAATAACCAGCCATTGACAATTATTTATGACTTGAAGGGGGACCGACCATCTGACAAGAGAGATAACTTTTCAAGTAAATAATCCTGAAATTACCTGTAGCTCGTCATCACAGAGTTTGGAAGTGGAGGCCTTCACTGCCCTTTAGTTGGTCAATTATTAAATCTGTCATGTCTGGCCAGAAATATTGACCGATACCTATTACATTTACTTATATTTTTCATAGTTTTGATTATATTTTACCTAAAACATTTGGCAATTCCCTAAGCATTTTTAATTTAAACTCCTTTTTTATTCCATAATCAATGACAACAGTCTTTTTGAAATTCATATGTTGATTCCATATACCCCAGTTGATTTAAAATTTAATACACAACAGAGTCTGCCACATTTGTTCCATACCTGGATGTTTAACTGACTATAGATAATAATTAAGCCAACTAACAACTACACTTTGACAAACAAGATGATTTTAATTTTACCATAGTTAACTTTCTTATTTGTGAAGTAATATCCTGCTACATGTATCACCAGGATATGGTGTTTACATCTCCTAACTTAATTGATACTTAAGAGCTGATTCTCCTTTTTACACCCAGGCAGGCCACTGACATGTAAGTTGATGCTACAGGGACTTTTAACAACCTCCTTTAACATTAGCATTTTGTAAATTATATGTTTATTATAATGACCATGTCAGCAAATACAAGTATAACTATTACTGGGTCATATTTCAGTTGACTTAATTCAAACCAATAGTTAGACCTTTGATTTTATATTGAATTTAATTATGACATTTTTTGTAGGGATGTCAAAATTGTCAATAACTGATATTTGAATATTCGATAGGAGTATTCGAATATTCGATAAAATAAATACATATTGCATTATAAAATACATACTTTCACTCTTCTGTCAACCAGTATAGGATTTATGCCATTATTTTGGAATAAAAACTCATGTAGAGTTCGTAAATGCACTGCAATTATATATTTTGTTTAAAAAAAATATTGAATAATATATATCCGATAGATTGGAATTTCGGTAGTTATTTTATAACATTGTTATACCCCCCACTTGACAAGCAGGAGGGTATATAGTAATTGGTATGTCCGTCTGTCCGTCTAGCTGTACATCCATCCGTCTGTCTGTCTCTAAGGCTTTGGGGTACCCATCTCTTATCCGCAACTCCCCTCATACCACTGAATGAAATTTGATGAAACTTTTACAGAATCTTTATTACACATTGCCATTGTGCACATCCTATTTTACTTTTTGATCCAACACATATTTTGGGTTTCCAACAACAAAACATGGACATTCCCATAATATTCATATGGGAGGCGGGGGTATCATTTAGTGAGCTCATTGCTCACAGTACCTCTAGTTTAATCATGGTTCATTCATGTGTCATGTGATTTTATTGTTGTCTGTTACGTAAACACATCTGAATTGGCAGAAGCAAGATTGTTTTTCTTTTTCTGTTTCACGTACAGAAAAATTTAGATTGCTTTGAATTCACCCAGAGGCATAGTTGTTTTACATGGATTTGTCTGTCTTCTTTTATTTTTAAGTCATAAAAAAACAAGAGGCCCAAGGGCCTTATAGGTCACCTGAATATCATGTAACAACTTTTCCAACAATTGAATTTGGTTTGTGTTTTTTCAAAACCAGAAGCCATGAAATTCACAATTTTAAAAGAGGCAACATTGTTTATCAGAATTACACAATTATCATGCTTACTTTGGTTACTTGATACATGTACCAGGTACCCAGATGTAGATCAAAGTAATAAAGAGAAAATATATTTGCACTATATAACCACCAGTTATGCACCCCACACCACAGGAACCACTGACCCTGGGGCCACATATTTCAAAATTCTGGAAATTTTATCCTAAATAGTTGATTAATACCAAAGAGCAGATTTCAAAGCACTAATTTATTTTCAGACTAAGTCCCCCAAACCCCCTCCCCCAAGCTTTTAAATTAACCATTTTGAAAGAGGTATCTTTCTTCATCATAAATATATACTTCCATCAATGGCATAATACCAAGGAGCAAAGAAAAATATTTTCAGAGAATTCATGCATTTTCACTATACATGTATAATCATTAGAGCCCAGCCCTAACCCCAGAACTCCTGACCCAGGGGCCCTGAAATCCACAAATTTGGAAGAAGCATCCTTCCTCATCATAACTATGTACATAGTTCATTGGTTTAATATCCAGGAGCAGAGATTTTTAAAGAATTTATGCATTTTCACTATATAATCAATAGAGCCCCGCCTAACACCGGAACCCCTACATGGGGCCATGAAATTCACAATTTTGGAAGAGGCAGCCTTATTCAACATAACAATGTACTTGGTTTGTTTATTAAATACCCAGGAGCTGAGAGGAAGATTATTAAAGATTTAATGTATTTTTACTATATAATCAATAGACCCCCCCCCATCAGAACCCCCGACTCAGGGGCCATGAAATTCACAATTTTGGAAGAGACATAATTGCTCACTATAACTATGTTCTAGGTTAATTTATATGATACCCAGGAGCAGAGAAGAAGATTTTAAAAGATTTTATGCATTTTCACTATATAATCAATAAAGCCGGACCCTAACACCAGAACCCCTTATCCTGGGGCCATGAAATTCACAATTTTGGAAGACACAGCCTTATTCTACATAACTACATACTTGGTTAGTTTATTTTAATGCCCAGGAATACAGACAAGGATTTTCAAAGAAACAATGCATTTTCGCTATATAATCTATTGAGCCCCGCCCTAGCATTAGAACCCCTGACCCTGGGGCCAAGAATTTCACAATTTTTGTAGAGGACTGATTATGATCATTCCAACAATTTGACTGCTTGTTGTTCTGGAGTATTAAGAAGAAGATTTTTGAAGATTGCATTAATTTTAGTGGTTTTTGCCCCTCCCCTAATGCCCCAAGGAGGCAGGGAACATGAAAGTCACAATTTTTGTTCCCCTTCACCCATAGATGCTTTGTGCCAAATTGGTCAAAATTGGTTGAGCGGTTGCAGGGAACAAGCTGAAAATGTTCAAATGTTAAAAAAAAAACACACACGACAGACGAAAATGGATAGCAATAGGTCACCTGAATTTACTCAGGTGACCTAAAAATAGGGACAAAATCTGCCTGGATATATAGCATTTCATAACTCTTACATAACAGGATTTGACTGTATCTGTACCACACCCTCTAGTACTAGAAATAGAATTCAGGAAAAAATCGATTTAAGATTTATTTATAAATTTCACAATACCAATTCCACATCAGTATTTTACAAAATAAAAACTCTTGAAGAACATTTACAATGAAAGTGAACTCTGTTATTTGATGTTAGTATAAAAATGGGCCGATCTGATTCAAATCAGATTTTTGTTACACTCTGAAATTTTGATAGCTGCTGTACAAAGCTTTTAATTTGATTAAAAATGAACCATTTACCAGTGTGTTGAGTGATGACTTGCTAAGCTGGTGCCGTAGAACAAAGCAATGCTTGCCTTAAACACAGATTTTTAATTTTATGAATTGCTGGAGCACCTTGATTTAATAGAGAGAGTGTAGCAGTGTAAGAGTGCAGCTTTAAAAAATTCTAGTTCAAAGCCATTTTTTCTTGGTTCACTCTCATGGTAAATGTTACTTTTCAACAGTTGAATTATTAATCCAGAAATAAATAAGCACTACATGATGAGAAAACATTCATTTTAAGCACTACCTCCTTTTTATCATTGTTACATACATAAAATGTATTTTGGAATTCTTTTTTTAAATAACAATCCTCACAAATTCATGCACTGATCAATGCTATATTATACCTTATTTTACAATTCATGCACCTAAAATTGTTTTCAACTATAAATCCTTATGCCATGTTGCACCTTTGGTTAAATGTTACACATGTTTAACACACACATTATACACAGAATTATTATACAGGTAATGGTCGAGGTCATGGATGATGCGATACAATGTAAACCAGAAGCAGGTAAAATGTTAGTAAATCGTCCATAACCGTTAAATTCTCCACCTCCATTTGACTACCATTGTCATGCGCATGCAGCTGCTCAATCAACCGAGACCATGGTCCTCAAAGAAGCCCTGAGGAGTCTCTTCCTAGGGACGAAAGGAGGACATCATATAAAAGTGTAATCAATTACATTCAGGACCAAAGGAGGACATCATATAAAAGTGTAATCAATTACATTCAGGACCAAAGGAGGACATCATATATAATGTGTAATCAATTACATTCAGGACCAAAGGAGGACATCATATATAAAAGTGTAATCAATTAGATTCAGGGCCAAAGGAAGACATTGTATATAAAAGTGTAATCGATTACATTCAGGACCAAAGGAGGACATTGTATATAAAAGTGTAATCGATTACATTCAGGACTAAAGGAGGACATCATATATATAAGTGTAATCAATTAGATTCAGGACAAAAGGAGGATATCATATGTAAAACTGTTATCATTTACTTATATACTGTATAAGTAGAATTTTTAGCGAGGATTTAATTTTAATTTGGCATTATTAGTGAGAGTGCCGAGATCGCTAAAATTGAATATCACTAAAAATTAATTGTGTTTTATTTGTAAAAGCTTCTTTAATGTGCATTTTAAAATCGCTAAAATAACATCTCGCTAAAAATATATTTACATGTAAAAGTTTTTAAGGACAAATCGCTAAATTTGCATCTCGCTAAAATTTCCACTTAAACGGTAACTGTTATCAAAACATAAATTGTAAATGTAATAAATTACATTAGGACACATATTATAACCAC